GAGATTCTGTGCTGGCTTCTCCCCTCCCTACAGCTGACAGCAGGGGCTTGGGGGTGTGCATCCAGCAGCCAGTTGGGGGTGGCCCACCGTTCAGCTGCCCTTGGCAGTCTCTAGCACTTTGGGAGACATGCAGGAGTGCCCCCAAGCTGTTGGCCTCAGCCAGTGCAGGCATCCTTTGTGCCCCCCATGAAAGTGTGACCTTGTGTTCTGTTCACTCCCAAATTAACATAGCCTGCTTAGAAAAACTCATGTAAATTGGTTCAAATCCACCTCTGGCTCCTTAAATGTCTATATATAGCCTAAATGCAACTGTACAAAAAATTCACATTCATTTAAAATCTCACCTTAAGACGTTTTTGATGCAATTTTGGACAGAAAACAAAATGTACTTTTTAAATTAAAATAGTGTTCTCCTTTCCAGATCATCCAAATCTCACCCAGGACCTGTTGTTCATATTAGTGACAATCCAATGGATGAAGGAAAGGTAAGATACATTTGCATTAATAGGTACTAAGTAAAAAGCAAAATGACTTTCTTTTTTGGAGAAGGAATTAAAGTAATGAGAACTAATGGGAAACAGAAGGGGTATGACAAGGGGATGTGGCATTAAGAGTAACTCTAAAGAAAATACAAAAGTAAACATGGTGGATAGTTAATACCTTGAATGACAGTGGAGTTACCTGCCTTGTTGAACTCGGCTGACCCAGTCAACCCAATTTTTAATGTCTTTTAGCAGTGTCCCTTGCCCCTGTCTGTTCCCCTTCTATATAAAACACTTTGGGCACTTTTACACATGCTCTGATGCATTCTGATTAATCGAGTCTGCTGGAGGGTTCTAATCAGAATGCTCCAGTGCACTGCAGCATTCCTTGTATTCAGCATCCCCACATTTCAAAATGGTGGTAGAGGCGCTTTAACTAAAGCTCATTAAATGAGCTTTTAAGTACTCCTGCCGCCATTTTGAAATGGGGGGCACTGAATACATGAGACACTGCGCACATTTTAATTAGAGCAGCCCCCAGGAGAGAATGTTAGCATTTAAACAGGGCAAGTGTTAGCATTTAAACAAGGCTTCACGAGGCTCCGTTTACATTGTTCTGTTTGAGGAACTGGGGCTTCTGTTGCCTGCTAGAAACATGGAACATAAAGGATAGCTATACTGTAAAAACAACCATACTTTCAGAAAAGATAAGTGAGCAGTTTAGTTACTTTCACAATCCTTTCATTTGGTGAATGACTCTCCTGTGATTCTAAGAACACTTTGCTCTCATTAATTCCTTGTTCATGTTAGCATTGCCAGTGTCAGCACTGCTATTGAATGCTGTTTGCTCACCGCTGGAACGATAGTTGAGATAAAAAACAGAACAATATTAAGCCTCTATTTAGGTTTACTTTCCTTTTTTTTTTTTCTTTTCCTAATATTACTCAACATGCCTTCCCCTTGAAATTATCCATAAAAGTAAAATAAAACTTAAAAAATAATATTTGTTAGTAAGACAAGTGTATGTATTTTGATTTCAGTCATAGATGTAAAGTTGTTATACTAGATTTCATTCAGTACAAGCATGTAGAACTGTTAGGTATAACTCTTTTAAATAAAAATTAAAAAGGGAAGTATAATGTCTAAGTCTTACACTAATTATTTTGCAAATAATATCATAGGCTAGAGGTAATTTTGATTTGGTTTCATAGTCTATGGCAGTCATGCTCATCTGTTTTGGGCAGATGGGCGCTGGCCAGGTCATCTGCGGTTTGGGTCTGGCTGGAGGTTCCAATCTGTCATGGGGTGGTCACAGCAGGGTCCCATCCAGTCATGCAGAGGGGGCAGGGGTGTCCTTGCTCCAACCCAGCCCCATGGTGGGGAGGGAAGAAAGGGGCATAGCTCATCCCCAATGCAGCCCCATGGGGCTGGAGGAGAGAAAGGGGATGTGGCCAAGCCTTAACCCAGCCCTGCAATTGGGGCAGCAGTAGGCTTGACCCAGCCCCAGAGGGAGGAGGGTAGGGGCTTGACCTGGACCCATCTTGCTGTGTGGAGGTTGGGGTTTGGGAATTGAGCAGTGGGGGAGGGTGGCTGTGGTTATTGCCACTGCTCCCTTGCCACTAAATTTCTCAATCTGTGGGGAGCCCTGTGGGCCAGATAAGATACCTATGGCTGTGTGGACTGGAGGTTGAACACACCTGTTCTAGGGCAGTTTACACAATCTAGTGCTCTGTATTTTGTGAACAGGGTTATATACTAAATGTTAGAAGTTAGTTATTTTTTTCTAATACTGGAATTAACCAGAGATCTTGGAGATTTCATCAATTTCATAGATGTTAGGGGTGGAAGGGACCTTGTAAGATCATCAGGTCCAGCCCCCTGCCCAAAGGGCAGGAAGTCAGCTAGAGTCAGAGGATCCCAGCAAGACAGGCATCCAAATGTTTCTTGAAAGTGTCCAGAGTAGGTGTGGGCACCACCTCTGTGGAGAGTCTATTCCAGGCCTTGGTGGCTCGGACAGTGAAGAAGTTTTTCCTTATGTCCAGCCTAAAACAGTCTTGCAGGGGTTTTTGACTGTTGGTCCTTGTCTTCCACCATATTATGCCCCCATCCCTCCAACTAACTGGTCCTTTGAACAAATGCCTAAAGAAGACTGCCTTACTCCCAAGTCTCTGCCCCTATTTTTTCCCTCCCCTTCTAAAGGCACACAGGATTAATAAGATCTCATATGCTCTGCAGCCAGTGCAGTTCTTCCTTTGCATCAACCTCCCTTCTACCTGGTACCAAAGGTCACAGTGCTATTACTATTTAGAGTAGAAACCGTATAGGAAGAGGAAGCATAATTCAGTAAGAAAGCAGACATGAGTAGGGACCTACTGAAATCGCAATATCAGACAGGCCCCATGAAAAAGGGTGAGTGCTATTGGTGGGCTCCCTGAAAAAACCTCACTGAAAAGAGAATGCTGGCTCCACTGGAAAGTCTTTGTGGCCTCTGGACCCCGCTGCACAGCCTGCAAGGGGGATAAAGGGAGCTGCCATCACAGCAAGATAGCAGATGCCCCTGCCTCTCACCACTGATTGGCTGTGAAGGCTGTCTGTCACACGATCGTGCCTCTCGCCACCCATCAGCAGGGCTGCATGATAGACTGCCCTCGCTGCTAATCAGTGGCAAGGGATGGGGCCACCAGGGCCCCTTGGCCAATCAGAGGCATGGGGCATTATGCATCACCTGCAAAAATGGCTGCCAGCCCCACGGTCTGCCCATGACATTGGTCAGCAGCCACCTAGAGTCTGATGGACCCCTACATAGGAGTTACTCATTTTTCCTGCTATTCTTGGGCATGGAAGACAAATTAGGCTGATGTGCTTGCTATACAATTTCATGCATTATTCAAATTAGCTAAAGAAACAAGCTGCTCCCAATAATTCCAAGTAGACATGGACTAATACAAGAAGCCAAATATTTAAATTCTGAAAAATAACAACCCTAAGTAATGGGCCTAACAAAGTTGGAAGGATAACATGCAAGCAAAGAGTTTTGAACAGCTTATTAAGCTAGAAAATTCAGTTAATTGTATGAAAATCAGCTCCTTACTCAATATTATTGCCAACGCTGAATATTAGGTAAAAAATATAATGTGCTGCCTGTAGTATAAGTCTTCATATAAAGACCTTTCAAATTCTGGGATGGTAGTTTGCCTGAGGAGTACTATGTCAGTTTTTCTTCTTGCATGCAAGTATCTTCTTGCATGCCAGTCTGTCGCACCCCCGTGAACCCAGAGAACCCCCAGCAGACGCGCGGACCCCAACCTTGACCCCAGCACAGCCAGGAGGTAAGTTGGCCCTGCCATGGGTGGGAGTTAGACAGCTACGGAGAGGCAGGTGAGAGGAGCCAAGGACAGTCATGCCCCCTCCTCCCCCCCCCCAGCTCCTACTTGGCCCAGCCCTCTCCAGGGAGCCACACGAATGGAGCCTCACAAACAGGGCATGCAAACAGGTGCGGTCTGTGCCTGGCATGCAAGTTAATGTGGGAGTTAGCACAGGAGGGCGAGCAGGAGGGGCACAAGGCTCTAGGCAGCGAGCCTGAAGAGAAGGGTCGGCACAGTACCACAGACCACTACCTGCACCATGGTGAGGACGCATCGTACCCAAAAGATCCTCTCTGTGACCGGACCCCTCCCCTCTGGTACTTCTGAGGCCTCCACCCAGATGGAACCCATGGTTACGGGCCTCCACTCAGATGGGGACCCTGGCTCTCAGCTGTGGGGGCTGCCCGACACAACCGCAGGCACGTGAGACAAGGACCATTGACACCTCCCCTTGTGAGGGTTGTTCTGTTTTGGGAGTCTCTGGAGTGCCAGATAGTGGAGCTCCAGACCATGGCGCAAAGGCTGTGTGCCATCAAGGATGTCAAACAGGAGACTGACTTGTACTGCCAGGCCCTTCATCCAAAGAAAGAAGAGGGAAGAGCTAGGTAACCTACCCAAACAAGGTGGACAAGAAGAGCTCCTATACTGTCCAACCAGGTGTTTGGATGAAGGTTGTCACCAGCCCCAAGGCTCACTGCACTAGGGCCACCTATGCCCTGGATCTCCACAACAGGTACGAACGCCTTGCAGCACCAGTACAGCCAGCAGAGCTGCCAGCTCCTGGATATAAGGAAGAAACACAACCAGCTACAACCCCTAAGAAGAAATGCAGAGTAGTCATCGTAGGAGATTTCCTCCTGAGGGGGACAGAGGGACCAACCCCTGCTGGACCAACCCCTGAGCCACAAAATAATCAGATTAGGCTGCTCAAGAGAACCCACTCCTACCCTAGCCCAAGAGCGGAGCCTTTTCAGGAGTGCAAGGAAGCCTAGGGCCTCCAATGGCATACTTACTTGCTTGTACACAAATGCCAGGAGCTTGAGGAATAAACAGGAGGAACTGATCCTTCTGATAAACAGAAATGACTGCAATCTCATAGGGATAATGGAGACCTGGTGGTGGTACTCCTATGACTGGACCACTGGTATGGATGACTATACCCTGTATTGGAGAGATTGTGCTGAAAAAAGGGGCAGGGGTGTAGCTCTCTACATGAAGGAGAGCTACACATCCCTACAAGCTGAGATTGGCACCCAAGGAGGATGACAAAATACAAGGGGAACTTGGTGAAGGGCATACAGTAGTAGGAGACTACTACAGACCTCCTCATGGGAGACTTCAACTACCGAGACGTCTCAGGGGAAGAGCACTCAGCCAAATCTGATCGGTCATAAAGCTTCCTCACATGTGTGGATGAGCTCTACCTGTCTTAAGAAATTTATGGGCCAACAAGAGGAAAGGTGCTGCTGGACCTGGTACTGGCCAAAGGGGATGATCTAGTCAGCAACCTACGACTCAAAGGGAAGCTGGGAGACAGTGACCATGAGCTGATCACTTTCACTATCTATTGCAAAGCTGGCAAATCAGTCAGCAAAGCAGAAGTCCTCAACTTTAGGAAAGCCAACTTTCATAAGGTCAGGCTACTGTTGAGGCCCTGAGAGGCCATGATTTGACAGAGAGGGGAGTTCACGATGAGTGGTCACTCCTTAAGGAAGCCATCCTAGAGGCACAGGGAAAGTCCATTACAGCCCGTAGGAAAGGTAGCAAAGGGCTCAGCAACCCTTAGCTCAATGGGGAACTCATGGACCTCCTCTGTCTAAAAAGATAAGTTTATAAAGGATGGAAGACAGGAGACACCACTAAGGAGAGTATTGTGCACTGGTCCGCACCTGTAGGGAGTGAACTAGGAAAGCCAAGTTCCAACTGGCTACATGAATCAAGGACAACAAAAAGACCTTCAGATACGTGGGAAGTCGGGGAGAAAAATCAACGGCAACATTGGACCCCTGCTAAACCAAACGGGGCAGCTAGCAACCGACACCCAGGAAAAAGCCAATCTGCTTAATGATTACTTTGCATCAGTCTTTCACCAACCCAAAGAGACCACCCTGCCTGACAAGATATGGGATGGCCAGGATGAGGGTGAATATATGCCCACCATTGGCATAAATCTTGTGAGGAAACACCTTGAGAGGATGGACACCCACAAATCAGCTGGTCCAGACTGCACCCAAGAGTGCTAAAGAAACTCACAGATGTTAGCACAGCCACTGGCAAGGATATTTGAGAACTTGTGGCGCTTGGGCAAAGTACCTGAAGATTGGAAGAGGGCCAATGTGGTGCCTATCTTCAAGAAGGGGGGGGGGGGGAAACTACAGGCCAATCACTTTGACCTCAATCCCTGGAAAGAACTTGAAAAAAATTATCAAAGAAACCATTATCAACAGACTAATTGAAAGCAAGATTCTGAGGGATAAGTCAGCATGGGTTTGTGGCAGGTAAGTCTTGCCTCACCAATCTCATTTCCTTCTATGACCAGATGATGCATTACCTAGAAAAAGGGGAAGAGGTTGATATTATAATATATTTGGACTTTAAAAAAGCCTTTGATCTGGTGTCTCATGATGTCCTCATGGAGAAATTAGGGAACTGTGGCCTTGACTACCCTACAGTCCAGTGGCTGGGGAACTGGCTCCGAGGTTAGACCCAGAGAGTGGTAGTTGACAGAACAGAATCAGCATGGCACACAGTGACCAGTGGCGTCCCCCAAGGCTCCATTCTTGGACCTGTATCCGTCAATGTCTTTATAAATTATCTGGACTCTGGTGTTAGAAGTGGACTGGCTATGTTCGCTGACGACACCAAACTATGGGGAAGAGTGTCCACACATGAAGATAGGCTGGTGATCTGGGCTGACCTTGACAGGCTTGCAAGGTGGGTGGATGAAAACCTGATGGCACTCAATATGGAGAAATGCAAGGTGCTCCACTTCGAGGGTGGGGGGAACCCCACATCATACTTATAGGCTCAGCAATGCTACACTTGCTAGCACCACACCTGAAAGAGATTTGGGGGTCACGATTGACCACAAGATGAACATGAGCCACCAATGTGATACCGCAGCTGGCAAAGCAAACAAAACTCTGGCTTGCATCTACTGATGCATCTCAAGCAAGATCCAGGAAGTCATCCTCCTGCTTTTTACTCAGCTGTGGTGAGGTCATAGTTGGAGTACTGCATCCAATTCTAGGCTCCGCAATTCAGAAAGGATGTGAAGAAGCTTGAAAGAGTCCAGAGAAGAGCCACACATGATCAGAGGGCAAGATAGCATGCCTTATGAAGAGAGGCTGAGAGCCATGGGACTCTTCAGCCTGGAGAAGTGTAGGCTCGGGTGACTTGGTGGCAGCCTATAAGTGGATCAGGGGTGTACATCAGGATCTGGGGGAATGCTTGTTTACCAGAGCACCCCAAGGGAAGACCAGGACCAATGGTCACAAACCCCTGCAAGATCATTTTAGGCTGGACGTAAGGAAAAACTTCTTCACTGTCCAAGCCACCGAGGCCTGGAATAGATTCCCCCCAGAGGTGATGCCAGCACCTACTCTGGACACTTTCAAGAAACATTTGAATGCCTATCTTGCTGGGATCCTTTGACCCTAGCTGACTTCCTGCCCCTTGGGCAGGGGGCTGGACCTGATGATCTTACCAAGTCCCTTCCAGCCCTATTTTTAGAGCCAGGTAGTTCCGTAAGATAGAAGTAGATTACAAAACCAAGGGAGAAAGGTATGTATTAAAATACCAAAGTTAAAATACTGTAAAGAGGAGTAAAGGAAAGCTGAAATACTTTCAGAGAAAATATTGCAGAATACAAGTTATAATAGAAAGCAGCTTAAGAAGGCATAGTCAATTTAAGCAAGTTGAAGCGTTTGAGAGAAATAGATTAGAAAAATAATTTTCAACAGTGTGGTTCATTTTATGTTAATTGTGTTTGGTTCATGGAACACAATATTTTTTGTGTTGATTAAAAGTTACGACCTGTGTTTTAAGTGTGTTCTATTCATTTCTGTGAACATCCATTGATGCTGAAATTAGTAGGATTTCTGGCTGCTCAGCATTCCTGTATTTCAGGCTACTTGCATTTGGAATTAAAGATTTAGGTGCCAAACTTGAGGCATCTTTATCAGAAAATATTGGCCTTAGAACCATATGTCTACTTTATTTACAAGAGTCGTTATGTAGGACAACATTAAAAGGATGGCAACTTACAAGAACTAACTGGTGTTGTCATAGAGCTGCAAGGAGTGCAGTATGTTCTTCAAAGAGTCTTACAAGCTGCTTATGCATATTCAGATGACCTAGGATAATTCTCCCAAGTTTGTTCTCCTGGACAAGAAACTTATCCAGAGATGCCTGAACAGTCATTTGAATACTGTGTCCCTGAAAATGAAAGAGCTTGCCGTGCTGACACTGCACAGCCAGAGGAAACTTATGCAAATAATTTAGTGTACCCTGCAGCCTCTTGCAGTCTGCCTGGAGACAGATGGCAGTGGTGCACAGGGCAGCCCTGATTGGCTGACCCAGACCAGGGTTACTTTTCTCCTGGAAGAGCCATTTTTACTCTGGGAGAAAAATCCTGAATATGTTTGCTCATGGGTTCTACTGGGAGAGCAGCAACTTTCCTAGGAGAAACTGAATGTCTGTACATGGCCTAAGTTGCTCTGCCTAACAATGGAGAGAAAAAAATGCTTCTCTTACCTTTTACTTCTGAGTAACTTAATAATGAACAGCAGTGGGGAGCAAACAGTAGTGTTTCATGTTGACCTGTCAAATATAAAGAATCCCTTGAGTCTCAACTGTTTCGAACAGGGATTGACAACCTATGGTCCACAGGCCAGATTCGGCTCATGGAGCCATTTGATCTGGCCTGTGGACATGGGGCTTCAGCAGTCAGATTGACCCAATTTGGATCGGAGGTGGAAGGTTGTGTAGTGGGTGGGCAGTAGAATCCAGCTGCCACCACTGCTGTTCCCAGCAGTTGCTCACAGAAAATACTTGCTGCTGCCACTTTTTCCTGTGGTGATATGGAAAGATCATCTGCCTTTGGTGCTTTTCTCTGCAGCAGTTGGGGGTCTTCAGCAGTAGTTGCTTTCTCCTGCCATCGCAGGGATGAATGCCACCTGCAGACACTCTTCCTGTGCAGTCTCAGGGAAAAGCAGCAGTGGCAACTAGATCCTGGCATCCATTTTCCCTCTGCCTTCTGGGCTGCCTTGGACCTGACCTGGGCCAATCTTGTCCACAGACTGAAAAGGTTGTCAACCATTGGCTCAGAAAATGCAAAATGCACATTGAAAATCTTTTCCAGCTCCGTGCTATCTAAAATTTTAATCTGTATGTTTAGGGCCATGACACAGTAAATAGGAAGTAAACATTGCATGGTGATGGCACAAACAAACATTGATCTCTGCAGCTCTTGTCTTCATTAAACTATGTCCTAATTTTTAAAAACCTTGTAACACAGATCATGCTGATGACAAGAGATTTTGATGTATGAGTGAACGTGCATCTAATATCATGGCAGTTCCTCTTCCTCAGAACAAGAGTTGCAGGTATTTTAAATGACCTTTTTCTTTCATTCTTAAAGCTATAATAATACTTGCTCTAATTCTTGCAGCTCCTGATTGGCTTTGAATCTGGAATAGTCTCATTATGGGACCTCAAGTCAAAAAAGGCAGATTACAGATATACACATGATGAGGTAATGTTATTCTAAATCTGATTTTTATGTTTGCATGGTTTAAATGTATTTTCATATCATGGTTTAATAGTTCAGTATTTGATAATACTTTGTATATTAAACATTTAAAAGGGAATACTGTATTCCCCTGTTGAATGACAATGCAGAGTCATTTACATATGCTATTATAAGCCAATGGTCTGCTTTTAAACATTAGTGGAATACAAAAATATAGTTTTTTTTCTTAATGATATGCTGCATATTTGACCAATTTGGTTTGGGTCTGCATGCAGACCCAAACCAATTTCCCCAGTTTTCCTTTGGCTCAGTATGTATTATTCCTTTTTAAACAGTTTACAAACTTAAGTTTCTTTGAATTTTAAAGGAAGTGCTTATTTTTGAACCAGACTAAATATTGAAACAAGGGTGAGATTTTGTAATGAATAACTTTCAGGAGGTGGACACTGTTGGAAATGCTGTGGTCTTGGCAAGACAGGCTCTGAGGATTTCTTCAAAATTTTGCAAGTGTATCTTTACCAGTCTGTGTGGTTTGGAAGTTTATTCTCTTAAACAACAAAAATAAATTTAACAATTGAATCTGTGCAATTTTGAAATTTGGAAACAGTTCTACAAGCTGTTCTAGGAGAGAGATTAGCAATGTATCACATTTACTAGAAGGTTGGGGGAGTGGTGTTCAGTTGATCCAGGAAACATGTGAGAGGCAAGGGTATTTTTGTGATACTTGCTGAGGGAGAAGTTGGACAAGCTTTTGGGTACATGGTGCCCTTCTTTCTAAGAGTAAATGTATTTGGGTAATTTTAACTTGGTAGTGTCATGTTAGGGTTTAGAATAAATGTGAGGAAGCAGAATTTATTTTAAAATATCCTTTAAAATATTGTGCAAACATTTAGATGACAGTTAATTTTTTTAAACATTTTTGGGGATTTAAAGCTGATTAGAAAGAAGAAATAATCACAGTACCCAATTAAAAAAAAATCCTTGTGGCTCAAAATCACTGTTACTCAGTTAAAGTTAATGGACCACATCCAACAAAATCAGTACATAGCTGTAAAAGTACTCCTTGCTATACCAGTTCAGTCCATTACACCAAGCTAAAGAGGCTAAGTAATGTTTTGTTCTTTTTTCTCTTTCATTCTCTTGAGCAGTTTCCACAAGATTAGATGTTTTAGGTCTCAGGTAGATGTTAATATTAGCATGCAATTGGGATAAGAAGAATTTTATTTTTGGTCCCATGACAGACATATGTGGCAGGATGCACCATTTTTGGGTTCAAAAATAAATTTCCCCTTATCCCAATTTGTGATGGCTAGTGAGGGGAGCCTGACATCAGGATCTGCTCCCTGATGCAAGCTACCCAGCCACAGGCAACTTGAAAGTCAAGCTGTGAGGCCTACCATGGGAGAACTGATTCCCCCATGCTGGGCTGTGCACTGGTTGTTGTTTGTTTTTATTTTAAATGAGGGAGCCATGAGCCTAATACAGGGGCTTAAACCTTGGGACCTTAAAAAAAATGGGCGTGCAGCTGAATAACATGAGCCCAGGATCAGGGAGAGTCCCCCCAATGTCAGCTTATGCCAGCCCTAGGTTTTTAAAAAGTTGCAATGCTGTTTTAATAAAGTCCCGAGGTGGCATGACTCTGTGATCAAGGAGAGGAGGCTTTCTGATGTTGGGCTCGCATCATCCCAGGACCTTAAATCCAGGATGCAGCTCCATAGCCCTACATGTTCGAAGGCCACCGATGGGGAGAGGCTCCATGATCTCAGGCTTACAATGCCCCAAGAATTTTAAAAGGTGTGGTGCCGCCCAGCTGCAGTGCTGCCCTTTGAACATGCCAGCTCCTTGCAGGCCATCATGTTCAAAGGATGCACATGCGGCTGGACTGGACCTGTGGCTCTTGCCTGCATTCCATATTCAAAATAAAGCATGATACAGGCTGGCCACAAAAATGTTTTATATATAAAACCCATGACTGAAATGGAGATATAACCTTTTTATCATCTTGTATTTTTGGTATCAATTGTGGCAATGCACAGTGTAGGTATCACAAGTCAGTGAGGGGCAAGAAAACATGAAGACCATGGGATTAGTTCAGGGTCATTTCACACTGATTGTTTGGCACATGGATTTCCTTCCTCATGTGTCTGTCTTTCTACAAAGGATATTCCATGTTGGTTTAGATCATTTGTTCATGCAGTCAAGGGGTATCTAAGATGCAACCTGTGCACCCATGCGGTCCAGCTTGCAGGCTCCCCAGAGGGCTGGAAATTTGGCTGTGTGGCAAAAGCTGGCAGGATTAATTGCTGTGGCTCCCAGGGGTTAATGTTGCTGTCACTCATCCTGCCGCCAAATTTCTAGCCTGGTTGGGAGCTTTGTGGTCCATATCTTGTGTGTGAAGCTATGTTGTCTGGCCCGCAGGACTGCTCACAGGACCAGAAATTTTGGTGGTGGGAAGAGTGGCAGCTGCTTCAGCTCTGGGAGCTATAGTAGTTGATGCTGCCACCACTGAGTTCCATCCCATGGACCAGATGATGTGGCCCTATGCTATTCATCTGGTTTGGATGAGTTGGATGCCACAGTTATAGTCCATTGTGCTTGCCCAGCAGGCAAACTATCTGCCTTTCTTCTGTATTTCCAGATCCTGTCATTTTTTGAATGGCATGAACTAAGCTCAGTTGAGGATTTTACTGTGAAACAGCCTTGAACATTATTTACAGTATTCACTTGATTCCAAAATGAGGTTTTTTCCCTCTCTGTATAACTTTGTGGAGGAAACCCCTCTTCTTCGAATTGATTACAAGGCACTGGGGGTACAGATGGCTGCAGTGGCTCTGGCCTCCAGCCCTGTTCCAGCCTGGGGCATGGAGGAAGTATGCTCTCGCTCCAGCCTGGTCCACTAGCAGTTGCAGTGGGGTTGTGGCAGTTCCAGCTGCTGGGGACCAGAGTATGAATGTGGGTCCGGGGTATGAACGTGCTTCATGCCCCAGGCTGAAGTGGCACCAGAGCAAGTATAAGCAGCAGAGAGGAATAGGGCAGAGGCTGTGGGAGAGGGAGAGATGAGGGAAGGGAGGGCAGGCATGGGCAGTAGATGGTGGATGGGGACAGAAAGAGATGGGAGGGCAAAGGCCAGAGGTCAAGTTATTTGATTTCCCCCCAACACCTGCTGTTCTGCCACTGATTTCCCCACTTCAGCTGGGTGAGGGGAGGCCACACATGAATTTTTAAAATGACATGGCAATAATTAGTTTCTGGGTATGGAAAATTTATAATAAATTTATACATTTTCCATGCATGGAATCAAATTATTTGGGGCTTGTCTTAAATTCATGGTTGTCTTGGGTGTAGGTAAATTTAGTATAATCATAGCTTAATAGATTGCATGCCTTACTTTTTTGCATAACCACTTTTCGTGTGTGTGCGTGTGTATGTAGACACAAGAAGTGTGTGTGTGTGTGTGTGTGTGTGTGTGTGTGTGTGTGTGTGTGAAGTGTACTCTGTCCAAGTTTGTGGGCGATACTAAATAGTGGAGTGACATGCACGCTCCGGAGAGTAGGGAACGATTGCACGGAGACCTGGACAGGTTAGAAAAGTGGGCAGTACACAATAGGATGCAGTGCAACAAGGACAAGTGCAGAATGCTGCACCTAGGGCAAAAAAAAATATCCAGCACACCTACTGGCTGGGAAGTGACCCTCTCAGCAGCACAGAAGCGGAAAGGGGTCTCAGAGTCATAGTGGACTCCAAGATGAACATGAATAGTTAGCGTGATGAAATCATCAGCAAAGATAACCACAATTTATCATGCGTCAGCAGATGCATAACAAATAGATCCAAGGAGGTGACACTTCCCCTTTATGCGGCATTGGTCAGACATCAGTTGGAGTACCGTGTCCAGTTTTGGGTGCTGTACTTCAAGAAGGATGTTGGTAGACTTGACAGGGTCCAGAGGAGGGCCACTCATATGCTTAGGGGCTTACAGGACAAGCCCTATGAGGAGAGACTGAGGGACCTGGACCTCTTCAGCCTCCACAAGAGAAGGCTGAGAGGTGATCTTGTGGCCGCCTACAAATTCATTAGGGGAACGCAGCAATGGGATTGGAGATGCTCTATTCACCAGGGTGCCTTGTTGGAGTAACAAGGAAAAATGGTCACAAAGTGACAGAGAGCAAATTTAGACTAGCTATCAGGACAAACTTGTTCACGGTAAGGCTGGCCAAAATTTGGAATGGGCTTCCAAGGGAGGTGGTGCTCTCCCCTACCTTGGGGGTCTTTAAGAGAAGGCTGAATAGGCATCTGGCTGAGGTCATCTGACCCCAGCACTCTTCCCTGCCTAGGCAGGGTGTCAGACTCGATCTGTGAGGTCCCGTCTGACCCTAGCATCTATGAATCTATATAGATACCTATATAGATAGATAGATATTTGCATTTGAATGCAAAACTGTAAAAAGAAAAATACCAGTTTATCAAATGAACTTTTCTGAAGTTTTACCTTGTAGTTGAATATTCAGTGCTGTCTACTTATTAATTTTGTTACTGTAAAGTAAGTTTTTAAACAACATTTATTTTCTAACCTGCCTGTTGTGCTTTCTAGACAGTTACTAGTACAGAAGGCCATTAATTCTGGGTATGGGTGTCAACAGTAATTGATTTAGAAAGAGCTTTGTGGTGTAATATTAAGGTCTGTCTTCTGTTGTCAGGAACTTGGCTACACGTTCCTTTGCCTCTTGAGAATCAGGGTTTAGAACAACGCAAATCTTCGAAGTAAAAAAAAAAACTTGGAAAAGCTAGAGTTCTTATTGTAGGTCGTTTTCTTTTTCACTTCAACTTAATCATAAAAACATGTTTAATCACTTAAACACTCTTTTTGACAGCTTTGTGAAGAAAAGGTATAATTTTGATAACAGCTGAATACT